ATAGAGAATTTTGTCAAAATACAATTAAAATAGTTAAGTTTCATGATGTATAATTTGTTCGTGATTGTACTATTAGTGTACTTATAATTTACTCGTGACAGTTCAAACTATGCTTGACAAATAATTGGTCCGTCTTTAATGTGCATTCACCACTATCCAACAAATGCCAACTGGTAAACTAAGAGCATCTCCAACTGTTGTAGTTTTTGAAAAGTTTTTGTAAGTGTGATTTAAGATAGAAAAGATGGGAGGGGAGAGAAAAAGGAAGGAAAACAAAAAGTGAAGCGTCAAAAACGCACACTGCACGCGCCCGGCTGAGCGCTGGGTCACCCTTCACACGACCAAAAGTCCAAGACTGTCAAAAAGATTTGTTGCAGTAGGTCCTCGCAGTAGGTCCCACAAGTCTGCCAAAAACCAAGGCATTACGTAAATACCCAAAATGGTCCCTCGACTATAGCTAAATTCACAAATTGGTCCTTAACTTTCAATTTCAACTAATTAAGTCCTTAACTTTACAATTTTGACACGATTTGGTCCTCCATATATTTGACCATTTGTTGATCGTGATCGACGATCTCCAGAAGAACCTTCAGCTCTCGTCGGAGCACGTGGAGGCCTCCAGGATGACGTTGCACCGGTTCGGAAACACGTCATCTTCTTCGCTCTGGTACGAACTCAACTACATTGAATCTAAAGGGAGGATGAAGAAAGGCGACCGGATTTGGTAGATTGCTTTCGGCAGTGGATTCGAATGTAACAGTGCGGTCTGGAAATGCAATCGGAACCTTAAAAAATCGATGATGGACCATGAAATGACATATATATCCTCAAAAATCACAGTCAACAAACGGTCAAATAGACAGAGGACCTAATTGTGTTAAAATTACAAAGTTAATAACTTAATTGGTTGAAATTGAAAGTTGAGGACCAATTTGTGAATTTAGCTATAGTCGAGGGACTATTTTGGGTATTTACTCAAATAAAAATTAACAACTTCAAACTAAACTAGTTAAACCTTACAGACTAACAATTTAGTGATCAAAATATTACAAGTTATAGAATACAAATTACATGTTACAACTTAAAACTTTATACAAAAGCTAAAATATAAATTTAGAAACATACAAAATTACATTTTTCAAAATTATATTGTCCATTGTTCAACTCCAACACTTTTACAAATTACAAGATTACAACTTCAAGTCTTCAAAATCAATAGTCACTCCAGTTAGCAACTCAGGGGGGGTATGGGGTTTAGGCGAGTGAGAGATATGAATCTAGCCATGTTAGGGAAACAAGGGTGGACATTTTTAAGTGACCCAGAAGCTCTAGTGACACAAGTGTTTAAGGCTCGTTACTTCTCAAAGTGTTCTTTTCTTGATGCGGGAAAGGATCAAATCCATCCTTCGTATGGTCCAGTACACGTTGGAGGATAGGAGACGGTAGTACGGTGAAAGTAAGGGGTGATCCTTGGCTCCCAGATTCCCAAAACCCTTTTGTCATGACAACTGAAATGGCTTATTTGTATGCCCCTCCTGTTCGCTCTCTTTTATGTGTTGATGAAAAGCGTTGGGATACTGATTTGATAAGGGACATTTTTGACCAACGTGATGCTCAATTAATCTTGAATTTGCCACTGTCTTATGATTATACACCAGATGTGATGTATTGGGAAGGGGAGAGCAATGGGATTTACTCTGTAAGAAGTGCCTATAGGCTAGCATTTGGTAATCTGGAACAAGACTGTCAGTGGCCATGGACTGCTGTTTGGAACTTTGACATACCACAAAAAATTAAATGCTTTTTTTTGGACCATGTGTAAGCTAAAGTTACCAACTAAAGATGCATTGCTTGTTAAACAGGTAGCTTGCAACCCATTATGCCCTCTGTGTGGAGATATGGCCGAGACAGCAATTCATCTTTTCGCAGAATGTAGCTTTGCCCATCTGTGCTGGCAAGAACTGGAAACTGGATGGCCTATGGAATCGGCTAGCTCGATTCCGCTATGGATTGAGAAGATTTAGAAAGCCTTACTGACTAGTATGGTTGAAAAGGTGGTGATTATTTGCTGGTCTATATGGGAGAATCGCAACTCAATGGTTTGGAAAACACAAGGCATGGATCCTAGAGCTATGGTGCGTATTGCTCTAGCTTTTGTGTGTGACTGGAAATTTGCCCAGCAGCGCTCTTCTACTGCTCTGGTGAATCCTCCCCCCCATTCAAACGCCATATACTACTTGGTCCCCTCCCTTGTCAGATTACTATAAATTGAAATTGATGTTGCAATGGACTTTGGACAAAGACGGATGGGATTTGGTTGGATTTTACGTGATTCGGAGGGCATTGTAAAGGGGGAAGCGATGTCTATGATGAAAGGCATATATTCGGTCAAGGAGGCTGAAGCCATTGGGGCTCGTGAAGCTTTGAGTTGGATCAAGAAGAAAGGGTGGCCTCAGGTTATTTTAGAGACTGACGCCGAAGTAATGACAAAAGCAGTGCATGAAAGACATAATCATACCCCTTTTGGAGCTATTATGAACGACATTCGCACACAGCTGCTGCATCTTCCATACGTTCGATTTGTTTTTGCAAAGAGAGATGCGAACCTTCCGGCCCATTTTCTAGCAAAGTTTGCATTATGTAATTCTGTAGAGGGGGTGCTTGAATTCTTAGACTCTATTCCTCTTTGTATTCCCCCCATGTCTCTGCTGACTATTCTGGTTTAAGAAATTAAAATCTCGTTCTTTGGTTTTAAAAAAAAAACATTCATCATCTTCTTGCTCAAAGTTAAAATACAAAGTTAAATAAATGTATTATAAGAACTTGGAAGTTAGAACCACACTATCACAGTTGGAAGTTTAAACACGACTTAGATTGCTATGTGTTCATATCAAGGTAGGATTAAGGGAAAATTGCTACTTGAGTTTTGCAATATGACCCAAAACTCATGACCAACATACCAAGCCAAAGCCCTTTGTTTCAAACAAATGGGTTGGAAGCATCATCATAGTCATTGGCAACCAAGGTTGCAGTAGGCGCTAGGCGCTAGTCGGGCGGCCGGGCAGCGCCTAGCGCCTAGGCGGTCTAGGCGGCGCCTAGGCGGATTCTAGGCGGGGCTAGGCGGGCACCAAAAAAATTAAAAAAAATAGTGACAGACTTGTAGTTCGACAATTATAATGAGGTTGTTTTCAACGTTCACTCAAATAACACATCTAAATAAATGAAATAATGATAATTTATAAGTCATAATGTCATAATAATATTAAAATCAATAATTAATGAAAGACGACATCGGTCAAAATCAGTCAAAATCAGACAAAATCGGTCAAAATTGGTCAAAAACGGTCAAAATCGGACGAAATCGGTCGACTCGGCCGAGTTGGCCGAGTTGACCGACTCGGCCGAGTTTGACCGCCTAGGCCGCCTAGCGGCCGCCCAGGCCGCCTAGCGGCCGCCCAGGCCGCCTAGGCGGCCAACCGAGTTTTGGCCGCCTATAGGCCAAAACTCCAAGGTAAGTGGCCGCCTAGCGCCTAGGCGGGCGCCTAGGCGGCTAGGCGGCCGAGTTTTACATCACTGTTGGCAACTGATGTAATATATACGAACTGTATCAACTACGAAGTACGATCTAGGGTCGGTTCCGGGTTCGGACCCTTTGCCTAGTATGCTTGTTGGTTTAAGTGCTAGAGCTCGGAATACTTGACAATGGGTCAGAGGTTCCCGAGCTGATAGCTAGCGTATAGAAGTAGCTAAAAGTCCCCTCTGACGGCAATTAATGTGGTATTTATATAGGGGAGAAGAGGGAACACGTCCCGACCCAGTGGTATATGCGGCACGTGGAGTTCATGCACGGGTTCAGGCTGGGGCCCAGGCCACGTGCTCTAATACTCCTAATCGCACTACACTCTGCCGCAGAAGCTAAGCTGGTTGGTCGGGGCACAAGTATCATACCGATGCCTACCCACGCAGCCTTCGGCAAAGCTCGGTAGGCAACATGCTCGGGAAAGTGTGAGTTTTAGGTCGGTGGGAGTCGGATCGAGCTTCGCCTGCATAGAGAGTCCGTTACCAACCATCATATAAGCACAATGATCGAGGAATAATCCCCATCAACAACAATTGCAGTTAGTAAAACTAGTAATGAGTAAAAACAAAATGAGAGTAAGTGAGATTGATATACCATATCAGATGACCATAAGATTCATGCACTCATGATTGAATGAATCAAGACAAAAGCCTTAAAAGCTCACTGAACTAATACTGATATAGTTATACTTAATGGAAACGAATCAAAGGCAATAACAATTCAATTGTTGCCAAGTTATTATCCAGTTTTCACTTTCCAGGTTGCCTTAGTGCCTCACAAACCACAATTCAGTAATGCACATTTCACACAAAATCACATATTCAAAAAACTGGAATGAAATTTAAAATAATCAAATAAATAAATATTACATGAATGGTAGGAAGGGAAGAACCAGCACTTCCTGTGGTCAACTCTGCAAATAAAAAGAAGTTAATTAAAAATAGAAACTAAGTAAACACTAACAAAGTAATAATAGAAAGTGAGAAATTGAACTATGAATAGAAATTACCTTTTTTAAGCTTTTCAACATCATCAATATTTTCCTCAATTTGTATTGGTTGATTTGGTAACCTTAATAAGTCTTGTGCACATACTAGGACTTCCACAATTTTATGAGTTAAGGAACTCTTAAATACATATAACACCCTACTACTAGTACTAAATGCACTTTCTGAGGCAAGTATGGATATAGAAAACGCTAGCACATCTCTTGCCATTTTAAAGAGATTAGGAAATCTCTCACTATTTAGCTTCCACCATCTAAGAATATCAAATTTAGCATTGTCCTCCACAATTTTCACTTAAATACACTTGAAGTTTAGTTTCTTTACTGCTTCCACCAGCCTCCATTCTTTGTCTTTTAAATTGACTTTTCAACCTAGATTGAGACTTACCAATTGTAGTATGAGATTGGACATGTTGCACAATAGGTTAGCCACCTGAAGATGATTCAGATTACACATGCACAGAGTAGGTGCTTGCATAGTCATTATACAATTCTAGCATTGCAGCTTGGACATTTTCTAAACACTGTTTCCCCTTCACTTCACCATACAAATGGACAAACTGGAAAGACATATATTCCAATCTATCTCTTGGGTCCAAAATATTGACAAAGAAGATCAAGAAGTTCATTTTTTTTAAGATCCCCCAATATTTTCAAACTTAATTTTCATTTGGGACCACATTTCCTAACAAAACAGTGAAACACAAATCAGAAATCACATAATTTAGATTTTAGAAAGCTAAAAATAGTAACAAGGTTTTTAATAATAATAATAATAAAGAATGTAAATTTATAAATTACCTTTTCACAACCAGTTTCAGCTCCAATTGTAACACCTCAAAAATTAATTCCTTAAAACTGAATTTAATTACTTAATTAAATTCTAATGGCTTTGCAATTACTTCTTAAATTTCCTTTGAGCATAGTCGAGGGACCAAAATTGACTAAATCCCTAACCTTTTAATTAAGTCAATGGGATGACTTGGTGCTTTATTGCTTGTACTCTAGCCTTTAATTCTTTCCTAACTTGCTTGTAGAAGGAAGAGGTCCTTTTGGTCTTTTCATAATCCTAACTTGAAACCCAAGATATTTCCCTAGCCTCCCATCCTAGCATTCCTCACTTAGACAAGCAGAAACACCCTTCTCTCTACACTCTAGCTTTCTCTCAAAGCTACTCTAAACCCTCCCAACCTAACCAAAGAAATCCATCATCTTCTCTATCTTGAAGGCCACCAAGTTTCCACCTTTCCTCACCTACAACCTTAGGAAGGGTAAGTTCTAGGCTTTATTGGTTTTATTACTTAGTTTTCCACCTCCTTTATCTAAGAATTCTTGTATTTGTTGGGTTTTTGGTTTGTGTTTGAAAGATCTTTTGGAGGAGGACCTTCAAGGAGGATCTTAGGAGTTGAGGGAGTGGTGATTAGGCTACAAAGGTAGCCCATGTCTTACAAAATCTATTTACACTTGCTATTTATGATTTCTTGATGTCATTGAGTGATTCTATGCATTTTCTTGTGTAAATGATGAACCCTAGGCTATCACTATATATATATATATATATATATATATATATATATATATATATATATATATATATATATATATATATATATATATATATATATATATATATATATATATATATATAAACGCTCATATGTGGTCATGTCATTAGGTGTGGTCGTGTGGTCGTATCTGTGTCGTTGAATCAGTTTAATCTAAATGCAGTGGTAATTCTGAGAATTTTCGCGCGTTTTAGTAAGTGGGGGTGTTATGGTAATTACAGTGACCATTTATAACAGGCGGGTTCTAGAATACACCAATAGTGTTGACAACATACACCAATAGTGCAATAAAACACACCACAGTGAAACACACCAATGGTGTATTCCCGTGTTATGGTAATTACAGTGGCCATTTATAGCGGTCGGGTTCCAGAATACACCAACAGTGTTGACAACATGCACCAATAGTGTAATAAAACACACAACAATGTGATTTTCCCTATTCCGGTGTTTTATGACAAGTTTACCCTTACAGTTCGCTGGGTAGTAGAATGTGCGCGAAAATACTGGAAAAAATCTTGATTAATATGATTTATTAGATCTATCTAATCTAATGGTCTATAATTGACCATATGACCACACCTAACAACATGGCCACATGTGATCACTCCTCTATATATATATATATATATATATATATATATATATATATATATATATATATATATATATATATATATATATATATATATATAGATTTTGGTTCCTGTGAGGTCAGGTCTTCCCGTGCGGTCAGTGCGACATACACCATTAGGTATGCATAAATGCACCATACAGTGTTCGATAATACACCAGAATGAAATGCCAAAAAATACACCACACAAAAAAATATACACCACACATAATGGTGTATTTTCGAGCACTGTGTGGTGCATTTATACATACCTAATGGTGTATGCCGCACTGACCGCACGGGAAGACCTGACCTCACAGGAACCTGACCCTATATATATATATATATATATATATATATATATTCGCAACGTCAACGCGTGTATGACTGAAAGGAAGTCTATGCCGTGTTATAATAACACTACCTTAAAAGCGTTATTTGCCCGATGACGATGCAGTCAAAGTAAACCGGTACATTTTCGACAGGCAACACAAGATAAACTACGTTGAGCCTACACCAGCTTAGACGTAGAAGAACCTCACTATTGCTCAGACTTTAATAGGTAAACACGAAATTATATAAATATATATAAAATATATTAGTGCTCACACGTACAAGAGTTATGAAGGAAGGAAGAAGGCTTTCTTGAGTGCATCTTGGCTGTAGAATTTGGCTGCTATTTATAGTAAATGCAAAGCCATTTCGTCCACATGTGACAAACTTAAAGCATGTAGCATGATCAAGGAAATCGAGTTATTTCCAACAAACAACCAAAAGGAATCCTAAAGATTAGGACAAAATGGAAAGCTTATTCTGACAGCCTTTGGAGAAATAATAAAACCATGGACCAACAGCCTACTTCATGAATGGATTAATACTACATTTCCAACAATCCCCCGCCCATTCAGAAAGAAGGCTATAATAAACTAATAAAAATTGTCTGAACAATACAAATGAGTTGATCTTAATGTCAGTGTTTGAGAACTTGAACTGACATGTAGTGACACTGAGTAATTTTCTTTCCAAGAGTAATGTGAATCTTGAATTCATCGGTTAAATAAATTTTGAACTCTAATGCACACACCAACTCAAAAGGCAAGTTCTACGAAAGTCAAACTCTTTGACTTCTTATGAATACCCTTAGTATTCAAGTCTGTTGTGTCTATCTCAATATAGATTTCTACCCTGTTAGAGTCTATCTCAGTATATACCACCTTTAAAGGCTTATAGAGTAGTTAAAGACATAAATCAGTTGTAAGTCTTTTCTTTCTATCATAGGCACTGTTCTTTGCAATGCAAATGACAGTTTGTGAGTAACAATGTATATGTAGTGAAGGTGTTGGACACCCCCACAACTGCACGTTTATCACACAGTTATTAACCACTCGGTTTTTTGGGATACCCCCATTATCTTTCATAAAGGGCGGTTAACCATTTTTCACTCATGTCAAGGATCTCATTAGGTTTACCTTAAAAGCGTTATTTGCCCAGTGACGGTGCAGTCAAAGTAAACCGGTACGCTTTCGACAGGCAACACGGGATAAACTACTTTGAGCCTACACCAGCTTAGACGTAGACGAACCTCACTATTGCTCAGACTTTAGGCAGATACGAAATTTTATATATATATATATATATATATATATATATATATATATATATATATATATATATATATATATATATATATATATATATATATATATATAGGGATGCAATCAGGTGCGAATAAGTGCTCAGGAGGGAAATGCGAACGAATCAGCGCGCGACACGTGTCCAGATCTAATAACTTAAAAAAAACGCGGTGGCATTTTCGTAAATAATTGAACATCGAAGTGCAAGTAAAATCAATTACAAGTGCACCTACTTTCACATATAAGTGCATGTAATTTTGCCTGGTTAGCATTCACTTTCCGCAAACATTCATGCATCTGGGTGTGCTTATAATTATATGTGCAACTATTTATAACTATAGGTGCAACTACTTATAACTATAGGTGCACCTACTTTCACCTATAAGTGCATGTAATTTTGCCTTGTTAACATTCATTGATTTGAGTTCAGCGGGTAGTAATACCCCTGAAAACCACTCGCAAACATTCATACACCTAGGTGCAACTACTTATAACTATGTGTGCAACTACTTAGAACTATAGGTGCAACTACTTAGAACTATAGGTGCAACTAAGTATTGATGCTCAGTGTAAATTTTTACTTGCACCTATAATACATTTTACATGCACTTGTAATACATTTTACTTGCACTTCGATGTTCAATTATTTACGAAAATGCCACCGCGTTTTTAAAAAAAATCAGTGTTTCTCATCCATTAGATCTAGACACGTGGACGAACAGAATTCATTCCTATTTCGCGCCTGGGCGAAGCATTCGCACCTGAGTGCGATTCTCTATATATATATATATATATATATATATATATATATATATATATATATATATATATATATACTAGTATGATACCCATGCGATGCACAAAATGAATATTGTTCATCTTATTGTATAATTGTGTGAAAAATTTAAGAGATGATGTAATATATAAAAAGTTGGAACAGAAATATAAAATGGAAAATAGAAACAATAAAGAAATTACTTTAACATACAATATAGAAAAATAAGAGTGACAGAATTACAAATTATTGAAAACTTCATGGTATACCACGTTGGTTGTTGATGTAATACAGGAACTTGAGTTCTTGGTAATCAATATTTTAAGACCATCTGGGATGTTAACTCGAGAAGCAGCCACGTACAACTGACCATGCACAAAAACTGATTTTTTTAAGTAACAATCCTACGTGTGGCAATGTTTGACCTTGAGTTTTGTTAATAGTCATTGCATATGATAACATCAATGGGAATTGTCTTCGTTGAAGCTTGAATGGCAACCTGGTATCAGATGGTGACATTGACATTCTGTGGATCAACATTTTTGTTCCTTTGTTAGCACCATCCATTAACTCGACTTCAATTACACGGTCTGTTAACTTGGTGATTACCAACCGCGTACCATTACACAATTCAACTGAATGATCAACAATTCTTAACAACATGACTAGTGAGCCAATTTTTAAAGTTAATGAATGGTTTGGTACACCTGAAGCTCTAATGCCGTTCAAAAATTCCGGTGTGTGTACATCACCCAGTATTCCAACGTCTTCATCGGCTTTGCACATTGTGTCACAACTAAAATATGTTCTACTTTCAGCCGTATGCAACTCACTCATATGTTGTACATTTTTGCACGATAAAACTGAATGAGTAAAACAACTGGATTAGGGTTGTCATAGTTGACATGCTGTAATAGTTGATCAACATATTGCTCCCAAAGTGTGAAAGGTAAACGTCTCTCTCTAAAAAGAGAAAAAAAACAAAAAGATTGTTATAAGGCGTACACACATTAAGAAACACATATAATCCATGATTAAGTGTAAAGTTGATTAATATAACATGACTTACTCATGATCCTGAACAACAAAGTGGATGAACTTGGTCTCCCGTCCATTAATTATGGTTGTACGTGGAGATTCAATCGAGACAACATAACCAACCAAATCTATAGAGATTTATCATCATAACAATAACAACTATATTATATATATATATATATATATATATATATATATATATATATATATATATATATATATATATATGTGTGTGTTGGAAAAAATAGCTTAAAATGGCATGTTAAGTGACTATTTTGTGGTACAATTATCAGTGGGGTCCCCTTCCGATTTGGGTCGGGTTAAAGTGGATTCGGATTCTTCGTAGTGAGACGAAGAGATCGATATATTGTACGCTCAAAACGGATAATGGGTGAATGAGATATTGATTCTCAAAGTAGACCCATTTGAGTTGGAAAATGAAGGGAAAAAGTGAGTTTTTGTCCCACATTGCTTTGGAATGAAGATTTTCCCCCCTTATATACAAGAGCTCTTTTGAAGCTTGTAGAATTGTATAGCATAGAGGCTTTCTTGCGCGGGGGGGGGGGGGGGGGGGTGCAAATCAAATTCCAACTAGCAGAGATTGAAGAACGCTTGATTCAAGCCCGAGCTCGTGTGAATCGGCACCTGCGGGTACGAATGTCGTTCGGAAATTGGCTAAAGTTATGCCAAACTTCGGAATAAATTTTCCAAGAAGGTGGAATGGGTGCCCTTAAGTGCCTAATTAAAAGCTATTAAATCCTTCACCCCTATATAAAGAGGAGTTGGGCAGTAGAGTTTTACACACAGAATTACACAACACGAAAGTATATTTTTCCAGCTTCAAAAATCTCTACTTCTACTCCTTCTTAGCCATACTGTGTTCATAGCCTGTCTTGCTCGCCGGATTCCTTGTTTGAATGCTCAAACATTGAATCACTAGCAAGTTTTATCCTGGGAAACCTAGGCCACAACGCTCCTACCATCTTTGGGAGGTGACAAATAAGGTTTTAAGGAAAGAGTGCTCACTTGACTCTTGCAAAAACCCAACACCAAACACTAGCCTTTTTTGTCTCCATCTTTCCTTCCCTATTCTTTCCAGAAAAATAATAATCTTATTTTTGATTATTATTTGTGTTTTCTACCAACGGCACCAACAATATATATATATATATATATATATATATATATATATATATATATATATATATATATATATATATATATATATATATATATATATATATATATATATATATATATGTATTATACTTGAAATGATAAATGAAATGAGGACCGTAAATTAGTATTACCAAATAGTTCGGAAGCATTAATTTGGGTAGGACCAAGTTGATCAAAAGCTTTCAACATGTATGTCATGTTTGGAAAGTCGTTGTTGTTATACTGAAAGACTTTTGTAGAATGCATGAACAGGATCTTGTATTTGTGGTGCGTAGTTTTGTATCTCATGTCATTTGTTGCAACGATAAAGTTTTTAATAGAGTATAAATGACCCTCAAAAAAAGATTTTTTTAAATTCATCAGCTTGAGCCTTTTTATTGTTACATGTATACGCGTACCCTAAATTATCAAAACGTAAAAATTTAATGAAAATCTATATTATAATAGAATATGAAATACATGAATTGAATATGTGTCATATACCAAACATATTAGCATGTGAATTATAAAACTAAAATTAAGAAAAATATATATTTGTATTGAATATATTATGAAATAATATATATATATATATACACACACACACACACACACACACACACACACACACACACACACGAAAAGATAATCTATATGTATCTATACTAAAAGTGACGAATATACCTCAGAATCATGAAACACACATATCGCCCAATTCGTGGAGGTAGCGGTGATTTGGTTAAGTAGATTGAAGGTGGGAGCCATATTGAAAAGTTTAGCGTATGAAAAGTACAGGAAGAAGATTGAAAATGAATGAGAAGCAAAGTCAATTAAATACTAAATACTAATACTAATAGCTATTGCATAATTCCCGTGCATAGTAACAGATGAATAATAATTCCCATGCATATTAAATACCATGAATTACACGTGCATAGTAATTATATAATAATAATTTGTTAAGGCAAATATGATGCATGATTCCGCGTTTCTGTATGTGAATAATTCGTTTTGTAAGGCTAATTCATTAGTATAGTATTAGTATTAGTATAGTATTATTATTATTATTATTATTATTATTATTATTATTATTATTATAATAAATAGTAATAGTAATTATAGTAATAATAATTGGCTAATAGGATGATTCTGCGTTTCTGTGTTGTTATTAAGGTTGATTATACGTTTTGTATTAAGGATTGATTAAATTAAGGTTGATTTAATTTAAATAATTTAATTAAAGATGATTGAATTTAATTTCGGATGATTTAATTTAATTAAGGATGGTTAATTGTAATACGAAATATATAGGCTGATTTAATTTAAATGATTTAATTAAGGATGATTTAATTTAATTAACGATGATCTAATTTAATTAAAAAAATTATTTTTAATACTAAATATATAGGCTGATTTAATTTAATTAAGGATCGGATGATCATTTGTAAAACTAAATATATATAGGGTGATTTAATTTAATTAAAATACTATACTATAATAACGAATTATTATTACTATAATAATAATAATAATAATAATAATAATAATAATAATAACCAATATTATATTCTTCTTTTACTCAACATGTTAAATTACATGAATTACATGAATTTATTTATAAATTGGCTAATTCATTATTATTATTATTATTATTATTATTATTATTATTATTATTATTATAGTAAAAAGTAATTATAGTAATAATATTTCGTTAAGGCTAATAGGATGCATGATTCCGCGTTTCTGTATGTGAAAAATTCGTTCTGTATGTGAATTATTATTACTATAATAATTACTATAATATATATATATATATATATATATATATATATATAATAATAATAATAATAATAATAATAATAGTAACTAATATTATATTTTTCTTTTATTCAACATGTTAAATTACATGAATCTATTAATAAATTAATATGAATACGATAAATGTTTTCACATTTGGAGGAAAAAATTTTGGGAATTACATGAATCTATTTATAAATTAATATGAATACAATAAATGTTTTCACATTTGGAGGGAAAAATTTTGGTACAATTAGGTGCGACGGTGCGACGGTGCGACCATATCAGCATCGTCCATTCTGCTTAATCTAACGGCAACGACTAATTTCTTAAGATTTAAAGATTTAAGCGCGTCCTAGTAAGTGGGGGGTGTTATGGTAATTGTAGTAGTCATTTATATCGGTCGCTTGTTAGTATACACTAACAGTGTTAACAAAAGACACCAATAGTGTTAGAAAAAAGCACCACAATGAAATGCATAAATACACCAAAAAACACACAACACACCTAAAAAATACACCATATAACTCACCACCCCAATGATATATTTCTGAACACTGTGTGATGCTTTTATTCATACCTAGTGGTGCGTTCTGGTGATTCGTATCTAATTTGTGCATGTTTTTTTGGTGTGCATTTTCTAACATGGATGGTGTATATTTGTATAACTATTAGTGCAGTCGCACTGACCGCTCGGGAAGACACCACAGTAAGGTTAATAATGCACCAATAACGAATATAAAACACACAACACTATGATTTGATCTATTATGGTACCCAATGACGACTTTAACCTTACAGTTCGCATAGTGTGAGAACGCACGCGAAAATATCGAAAAAGCCTTAATGAATGTGATTCGTTGGATTTATCTAATCTAATGGCCTACAATTAACCGCACCACCGCACCTAAGTGCACTGCCGCACTTAAACCTTCCTCTATATATATATATATATATATATATATATATATATATATTAGTGCTCACACGTATCGGAGTTATGAAGGAAGGAAGAAGGCTTTCTTGAGTGCAGGTAGAATTTGGTTGCTATTTATAGTAAATGCAAAGCCATTTCGTCTACATGTGACGAACACAAAGCCAGGAGCATGATGAAGGAAATCCACTTATTTCCAACAAACAACCAAAAGGAATCCTAAAGATTAGGACAAAATGGAAAACTTATTCGGAAAGCCTTTCGAGAAATAATAAAACCATGGACCAATAGCGTACTTCATGAATGGATTAATACTACATTTCCAACAAAATATATATATAATTTTGGGTATTCGGAGAGGTCGGGTGACCTTTACCCTAACTTATCCGTAATTCATTCAAGCGTGTAAAACATACTTCCGGGTCAATTTTCAAGCTTCGGTTTTGGATACCCAACTTGTGACCTTGTTCGGTTCTCGATTCGGGCGAGTAAATCGGATAGGGCGGGTTTTGCACACTCCTAATTTTGTATATGTTTGTTTTAATGTTGGTGTATGCAATATGAGTTGATAACGATAACATGCAAAGATAGCTGCTTTTTACTCATACATTAACAAATGTATTTTCAACAAACCAAAAAAATCATGGGTGACCATTGATCCTTTCATTCGTGAGCCCGGCACAAGCGTCGTCAAAATCCTAGTCAATAAAATCGGTAGAAATAATTAAAATACCTGCAGCTTATCAAGAATATCCTGAGAGATATATATATACACTGGTTTATGAACAGCCTAGCGTACGGACGAATTCTTTTGTTGCATTCTAGTTGATTCCTCATCTGTTATGAATACAGTGTACTTGGTATTGAACATGTATGGTTTAATTTCACGAATTGATGCTAACCAAATGATATAATAAGACTCGAGTGTGTCCCGAAATGGGTGACCATAGCATGACGTTTACACATGAAAGTCACGAGTTCGTTTAATTATTGCAAATTAAACTCTCTGATCTTTTGATTGAGTTTGTAGTACGGGATCTTCTGAATTCAGTTGACCTTTCTTGTGTGATTTGCACGCCCAATATACACCATTGAGTAGTAACTGCATATTTCTCACCCCACCAAAAAAGAAGAAGAAGAGATTCATGCATGAATGGAGGGAGTCAATTGGCCACATGAATTGGCACATATGATGTGTGATCACAAAGTGTATTGAGAAACTAATCCATCATCAACTAAATCAAATTTTACGATTTCAGTTATATTATGTGACAATAACTAGACCATTTATTATTGTTTAGAGCTATTTGCAAGATACTAACACATGTAAGTATAGTTAGAGTCATGTTTTTGCATGTGTTTTTATCATGCATGTACTATATTAGATTTTGACAAGTGTATGTTATGAATTTGTGTTTTATATCAATTATGATTTTGATTGATAAGTGTTATAAATTTAATGGACGAGTGTAATTAAAATCGGGTGATCTTTGAGAAAACAATATTTGTGACTAAAATGTTTTAATATGCTCTATATACTACTACTATGCATATTTTCTTGAAGGTGTTCATCTTCAATCACATTCAAATCAATAGTTTGGTGCTCAAACGATGTCGGATTTTCGTGATTCTTGATTCTATAGACTCCTCAGTTAAGGTAGAATCATATTCAACAAAGACAATGGATTTTGGTTGAAAGGAATTTCGTAAAAAGCCTTAAAACCCCAAATTGCTCTAAAAAATTGGTTTAAATGACCATTTACACTTCTAAACACAATATCTCCCCAACGGATCATCGTTACGACCCGAATGAATACTCTCCAGAAAGCTTATGAAATTTCCTACAAGATGAAAAAAATTTCATCAAAATCCATTAAGTCTACAGCAAGTTATGGCCGGAGAAATTGAGCACAAAAACACAACTCTAAGCTACCAAAAACAGCACATCTAAAATGACCTCCAACTAAAGGCTTGGTCACTCCGCATCCATAGCCGTCGATAAGATCTAATCCAACGGCGGAAATTCAAAATTTGTAAATGACATGGATCCGCTCCACGACCCGTAAGCCAATCAGAGACGAGCTTCTGGATATGAGCTCTTCATTCTCTTACTATTTAAATCCGATAATTTTTCACATCGAACCTGCAAAATCAATCACTGATCTCTATCTTTCTGTGCCATTTGGGATTCCATCGATCTCATCTCCCCCTATCCCTAACCCTAATCTGCGATTTCAGCTTTTCAGCTCCGAAAATGGCCACCGAGGAACCGGTTGTCGTGATCGAGACTACAATTGAGGCGGCGGAGCAGCAGATCGAGGCTGAGCCAGTCAAGGAGGAGCCGGAGAATCTTCCGGCGAAGTCAACCAAGTCGAAGAAAGCGAAGGAGCCTAAGGCGAAGAAGCCGGCTGCTCCCAGGAAGAGGAACCCTCCTGCTCACCCGCCTTACTTTGAGGTACGGATTTTTCTGGTTGTTTATTCCTAATTTCATAGCTATTTTTATCGCATTTTAGTTTGTTGATCGAATTTAAGTCTGATTCGGTTTCGATTTTGTGGTTTTGAAGATGGTCCAGGAGGCGATCGTCACTCTGAAGGAGAGGACTGGATCGAGTCAGTACGCTATTCAGAAGTTCATCGAGGAGAAGCAGAAGACGCTCCCGTCGAATTTCAGGAAGCTGTTGCTGTTCCATTTGAAGAAGTTTGTGGCCGCCGATAAGCTCGTGAAGGTGAAGAACTCGTACAAGCTGCCGTCGGCTCGCTCTTCTGCTCCCAAGCCCGCTGTAACAGCTCCGGCCAAGAAGTCGTCTACGGTCAGCAAGGCCAAGGCGACCAAGGAGAAGAAAGCGGCTGCGAAGCCCAAACCTAAGCCCAAGCCCGCTGCCAAGCCCAAAGCTGCAGCCAAGACCAAGCCCAAGCCCAAACCCAAGCCCGCTGCTAAGGCTAAGCCCGCTTCCAAGCCTGCTGCCAAGACCAAAGCCGTGGCCAAGCCCAAGCCCAAGTCACCTGCTAAGACCAAGGCTGCCGCACCAAAGCCCAAGCTGAAGGAGAAGCCGGCTAAGGTGGCCAGGACCGCCACTCGGTCCAACCCGGGAAGGAAGGCCGCCGCTCCTAAGGCGGCGCCGAAGAAGGCAACCCCGGTGAAGAAGGCTCCGGCGAAGAGTGTGAAGACTAAGACCGTCAAGTCTCCGGCGAAGAAAGCAGCCGCAAAGAGGGGAAGGAAGTGAAGAAACAGGGAAGCCTTAGTGAACTGAGATAGCTTTTTGTACGTAGGTGTAAGCTTGTAAATTCACTGCCTGCAGTTGGTTTACCCTTATTTTACTATATCATCTGAATATATATATAGAGAGGGAAGGGACTGTGATGAATGCCTTCTCATTTCTCCATTTTCCTCCTTGGAAACAAATTTCTTTCGTTTCTATGCTATATGTCAAGAAGAATTCTTCTTTTCTTAGTGATTCATATTTGGTCTTATTCATTTGCAGCATGGTTCATTTTACTGCACAAATCATTCGCTTGAATGTTTCTTAATTAATGGCTTCCATAGTTCCCTTCAGATGCCCTCTGATCATTCTGACAATAACCATGTTCTCATAAGTTTAACCTAACCATTATTGCAAAGTCATTGCAGCACAGCTTTTATCAGTTAGAGAGAGCTTCAAGGGGAGATGGGGCAGATATATCTCCAGTAAAGATGATCCCTTGGAGGAAAATGCTTGTGCTTCATGTACTTATAATTCTAGATTTCAACAATTAGTTGCTTAGAAAAATCGAAATTAGCTTCACCCTGGGGATAGAAGTGAAGTGCTGCAGTTGTTTCCACTACTTTGTTGAGCAGCCTTCTCCTTGCAGCAGGTAATTTGAAGTACTAATTGATAGAAGAAAAAAGATCAAAGTTTGTTGATAGTGAAAGATAATCTATTTATTTTTAGTTGTAAGCTTTTCTGGTGGATTTCCCTGATTACTTTGAGATTGTAATTGTTTTAATGAGCATTCTATATCCTTACTGTTGCCCCGTTCTAGCATTGATTTAATGATAATACATTAGCTTGTCTAATTGTTAGCTGAGTTTATATAGTTGCAAGAACACATTGAAGAGACTCCAGTATTCAAGAGCTTGTTGATCAAATCAAGTTTCAAGTGAAGAATGATGAGCACAACTATATGTTTAATTGTTAAAGTTTGGGAATTTGATATTCCTTTTCTAAGCTAAACTGTCCTCCATTTTCATCCATTTTTTACAATTGAGTGATCAACCCTTCTCAGCCAACTTGTTAATGAATTCCAGAGAGTCTATCTTAAGGAGGACTAGCCTTACATGGTTGAAGAATGTTTTATGTATTTCAGTATTTGTATCATTGCTCTTTCGATTTTCTTTTCAGTGTCGCTTTAAATTAATAACTTTCTGTATTCCTTGAATTTCCTTATCAGATGCAGAAATGATCTTTCTTAACCAATTGGTAATCATGTAGAGAACTCATATTTATACAGTGAGAGATTCTGTGAATGATGGTTATGCTAAGATCAGCTGTTCTTCATTTTGGAGTTTGTATGCTATACTTGCTAAGAGTTTCTTAGCTTGCCGATAATTGCAATCTTTAAAATGTGTGTATATATTGCCTTCCTTTTTATGCCTAGTCACATAAATTTTTCTTAGTGGCATCCATTTAGGTACACAATCTGATTATTTATGTCATCAACTAACCATTATCGGAAAGTCATTGCACCACTACTTTAAGTGGCCTTTTAGATATAGAGAGCTATTAGCTTATACAGAGTAGTTTTGACTATGCAGGGGATTATGAAAATATATAACTCAGTGAAGCCATCTTTAAACCTGTGCCACAGTTCCATTCATGCTTGTAGAGCAGGTTAGTTGATGACTTGATATGATTTGGATGATGGCCCGAATTGTTTAGACGTATTTCACTGGACAGTTGTGTAGCAGCATTCCTTTCTAGTATTTTGGCATACTTAATTCATTGAAACTACAACATTTTTGAGTCATTGCCCCAACTTCTGGGACATTAAGTCATTAAGGGAGTTGGAAACCTGATGGAATTTCTTGAATTGAAATATGCTGTAATAGAACACCAGAAAATGTATTTGGATTTGCAAAAGATTTTTTTGAACTGGTGATCATACTTGTCCAACATGCATCTTTTTTTGGTATATTCTTACCAGTAAATGGTAGAAGTATATATGTAGTGCTTCACATGTTGTCTGTATTAAGTTTCTTAAATCAAGCTTAAGAAGCCGTTATGTTACACTCTGTCATTTGACATTATCTAAAATTAACAGTTTTACCAATATACACAGTGACTAGGATATGCTTGGTGGGTGTTTTGCCTATGTTACAAGGGAAAGAGTTCTCATATGCTTTCCTAGTTTCATGAGCAATTGTTCTTGGTTAGGACTTGACCATGATTGAACTAAAGGTGAAAATACTTCTGCAATACATCCAATAATGCGATACTACTGAATTTAAATTGACAATTATAAAATGAAAAATGACTTCATCTTGGGGGTGGATAGAATTTCTGCAGATGGTCCCTCTAATTTGTATTTTTGCTGCCTTCTCTTCACAGGTGATTTATATGCAGATTCATGGCTGACAAGGAAAGCATGCTTTTGGGAGCGAAAACTGCTCTGATTAGATTCGGTAAACTTTTCTGTTAGATTCCCCGATTTAGTAAATACTTTCTATTTATTGTTGTTTTTTAATGCAACTATTCATCAAACCATGAAATGATTCTTATTATCAAATTCTGATGGCATCATCAGCTATAGAGTGAGATATTTAGTAATATAGTAATGATCATTTATTTACTAAATCAAGAAGGCTTAGATCCATTAAGTGGATTCAAGGATGGAAATTAACATTTCTTAACCATAGCCTTTGAAGTCCAGTCTCATTTATTTTCTTTTCCCTTTTGTGTCTTCTTACATCTTTGTTGTTGTTCCCATTTCCAGTGTCTATAGGAGCAAATATGTTTGTGAATATCCATAACAGCTGTGTTAAATATTCATCAACTAAAGTGTCCATTGCCTTTGTAACAAATGTTCATCATTGTTTTGTTCATTACCCTTGAAGCAAATGCCATTCATTGTCTTTGAAGTAAATGTTTCTCAAAACTTGTGAATTCATCAATGTAACATGCAGCTATATTATCCACAGAGAAATTACCGAAATGGTCATTTGACTATAGTGATTTCACCACTTCGGTTATCAACTTCTAACTTTGTCCAATAATGTTATGAATTATCGAATTTGTACCTATTCTAGTCCTCTAGAGGTGTATTGTTTCGTCTGCAGAGCTGAAACAGGTACAAATTTGATGGTCAAGAACATTATTAGATAAATTGGATACTAAAGTCGTGAAATCATTATACCGGTGGACCATTTCAATAATTTACTCAGGATTCTTAGCATACCAATTGGCTAGTAGGCAAACATCCAGAGAATTATAGTTGAAGGACCATTTCAATAATTTACTGAGCATTCTTAGTATGCCAATTGGCTAGTAGGGAAAACATACAGAGAATTATAGGCCGAGGGACCATTTCAATAATTTCTCGGGATCCATCGTAGTAGGCAAAATATGCAGAGAATTATTTCTGTTTTATGGTCTGTCTTAGTTACTTCAAGACAGCCTTAATAACTGAATTTAGAGCAGTTTGCATCTACAAATGGTACAACTATCTTCATTGCAGGCTGATGTGTATGAAATCTGGGGATTGAGGGATGAGGACAGACAGAAGCACAGAAAAGCATGCATGAAAATCCTAAAATGTACGAGAAAACATCATCATAACTGAGGGGATGTGTGTTTTTTGTCATCTTTTCAAAGTGTGGGTTTTCAGTTTTTGTGAAACTGTGCAGGTCTGTTGAGGCTATATTGCCATATTTTCCATCATGGTGACTAAAGTGGGGTGTCCTTGTGATCCATTGCACAGATTCTCAGGACACCAAAGCCTTGTAGTTGGGTTGGCAAAAATTTTATCACTGTTTTGGTAAGCAATAATCATGTTCATCAAATGCCATATTATTGTTCAATTAAAGGCTATGTAATGTGCAGTGTGTGTCATTAAAGTTGTGAGGTCTAGCTTTTTTGTGACAATCCCTCGTGACTTTGATGCCCAGGCTAACACCTGTCTTGTCTTCTCCCCTTTGGTCTTATCATTTGTGGGATGGCAAAGTCAAAAACATTGTGGAATTATTACATACTAAAGAGCCATTTCACACTATGAAGTGAAAAAGGCTTATGCTCATGACTACATGATTTTGAGTCATAATATTTTGCTCTCGGGACATAGCTTAATTAGTTGACTGATTCAACGAAAAATAACGTTTTGTTTGTTATTAGTCATAGCTCGTAGTTCATAGGGTGTAATACTTTGAGAAACTTGTGAACGGTTTAAAATATATTCTGTGATTTAATCTCTTTCAACAAGATTTCAGGGTAAAGACAAATGACTAAATGAGGGCTTTCAGAGTTGGAGTTTAATCCTGAGTAAAGGCAGCATTCATAAATTGTAACCATTACTATGAGATGTAGGTTAAGCGAAGTGGAGGTTCACTATATGGTGAATTATCGAGAAAAATCACCTGATGCGTTAGTCAACATAAGTATTTAATTATTTTCTTTTTAATTTTAAATTTAGAACGATCACCATAGAACATCAAACAAGAAAATTTTCGGATCACTCCTTTTGTCCCTCCAAAGAACAACACTCTAATAAGAAATTCATATTTAACTTTCAATTAATTTAACATCAAATTACTATTGTAGTTTCATACATGGACAACTATTGCTTCATTTGCAAATACATGAATGTAATGTATCCCTACCTCTTTGACAGTACTCCAATATAATTCTCTCTGAAACTCAATTGTTGGGTATCTTTTTCTATTCTCTTATGAACAAAAAGACAACAAGAAGCAACTGGAAATCAAGAAAATACAACAATTATAATGCATTTCTATTTATATTTCTTATACCAAAATTTCTTTTTTGTCTAAAACCCAATCAATTCAAAATTTTTGGATGACAAGGAAACCTGCAACCATTACCATACATTGAGATAATTTAGTGCCTGTAAATCAAATTTGTGACCTTTTAATACGAGAATAATGCTTCATTCACTCTGTCTCAGTGTTTGTGTAAACCACACCGTGGAGGTAAACCAGACCCGTGGATGACGAACTCGATCAAGAGAGTGGATGTTGACATATTGACAAGATTGGAAGTTGTAACCAATCATGCTTTACCAACTCAGGTCACCATTTTTAGAGCAAATTAGAGAAAAAAAATTTGAAGCTTAGAGATCGAAGAACATAATTGACCATTAAAACGATGCCAATAGGTAAATATACGAATAAACAAAACAAAGAACTCACCGGCGGAGGAGGGTTCTCTATCTATTGTAGTTCAAAGAGTCAATATCTCACTTGGAGTTCGTTTCTGTGACCTTCCCTCACTGAGAGCCACAAAATGCTTGGCGTGTGTGAGTGTATATATTTGCTGCAAGAATACATAAAAATGGATAAACTAACATAACAGGCGGCATAGTCTCCGATATGATCCGGTGAAGTTGAGGGGAATGAAGCCTGGTCCGAAATCGTTCAATTCACACCATGAAGTGATGCAATAATGCATGCAAGTTCAGATCCATTCCCATGAAAGATTTCGAACCAGACAACATTCCCCTCAACTCATATTTATATATATACACACACACCTAGCTAGCTTGAGAAGAGAGGGAAGAGAGTTTAGCTCTTGGACAAGGCTTATATATATACACATACTATACAGAAAGAGAGAGAGAGAAAGAGGAATCTATAATATGTTAAAAGATTGGAGTTGGCATAATTTTTAATTTTTTGGTACATCGAAAAAGAAAGAATAACTTGTTGGGCATAAGACCTTACATCCTGATTCACAGATAGTAGATGAGTAAATTACGATGACTTATCAATCTATTAAGTGCGAGGATCCGTAAGTTAATAAGTAGATAAATACTTAAAGCAACATCGTTCAGAATATAATTAATTTGACGGGGGATGGGGGTGGGGGTGGTAAGATTAGCCCTTTTGCTTTACGTAAGGATGAGGTTTGATATTCTCTATTCTTTATTCTTATATTATATTCCACATGAAATGGAGTCCATGTTTTACACCATTCCTCCTTGCATGCTTTTCACACCTCGTCATACCGTTAATACCCAACTTCTATTTAATTTCCTTTTTTTTTTTTTTACAAAATTAATGACAATGGGAAAATTTGCGGCCATTATATGGGGAGGGGTGTGTAAGGATTTGTGTAATAGTCTATAAATAACACAAGAAAAATATATCATTTTAAAAAAATTTTGTGTGACGGGCTTGACCTACTGATAAAGTATTAAAAATAAGTGATCGAACTCATAACTTTTTAATACGAGAATCATGTTCTAATCCCTTAGTCACCTCTTTTGGAGTTTATTTGCACTTTTTTTTTTTTAATTAATGATGATGGGAATTGAAAACCTTCTCCCAAAAGGTTGAATCCCCAACCCCAATGACCACTTTTTAATGCGGGAATCATGCTTTAATCACTTAGTCGTCTCTTTTGTGGGTTATTTCGACTTTTTTTTTTTTAAATTAGGGTGACTCAATGGCTCAGTCGACAAAGACAAATGTGTCGGCGCGCACAAGGAATTTGCCTACTTTGGACATAATCTTCACACTGCTGTTGCCGAGGTTCGAACCTTGGGATTGGTCTCTTCTCCAAATACCACATACTGAACCAGTGAGCTAAGCCCGTGCAAGCATGATGATGATGATGGGAAACCCCTGCAGCCTCTATATATACAGGCCGGGTGTGTAAGGATCTGCGTAATAGTTTACAAATAACACGAGAAATATATCACATTAAGAAATTTCTGTACCACGAGCTTGATCTACTGATAAAGTATATTAACAATAAGTAAACTCATAAAATTTTAATACGAGAATCATGCTTTAACCACTTACTCACATCTTTTTTTGGGGGTTTATTTCCACTTTTTTTCCTAGCTTCAATGTGATCTTCGAGGATTATGTCTTTCTTTATTTTACTATAACTATGTAAACATTGCTACGTACTCCATTGTTTTCACGTTGTAAACTTGAACCTTCATCATGCTTTAATACAATAATCATATTTTTTTTAATGTTATTATAAGTATCTATGCGTGTAATGCATGGAAGCAAAGCTTATATATGCCTTGATATATAGCCATATAGGTCTAGATATATTGTATCAACATTAATGTTACGTTTATCATGGCAAAAATTATAACTGACTTTGGTTATATATTCTTTTTATTTTTTTTGAAAAAATTACACATTTCGTCCCTAAATTATAAGGTAATCCTTATGATTCGTTCCTACTTAGCTTGTTGGTCGTACTCACTTCTTGTTCCTAAGTTATAACTTATAACTGACATTGTAAATTTCGTCCTTTTCTAACAAACATTAAGGACGAAATTTGCAACATCAGTTATACCTTAGGGATGAGAAGTAAGCACAACCTATTAGAAACAAAGGAAGAAATTTACAACGTCAGTTATAACTTATGGACGAGAAGTGAACACGATTAAGTATGAACGAATTCTACAATTACTCTATAACTTAGGAACAAATTTTGCATTTTTTTTGGGTAAATCTTAAAGATTGATGATTGAGCTTAGAACTTTTACCTAAAATGACTACAAAATTTTTAGTGAGGTAATCCTCTTATATGCATGTGACTAGATTTGTATAATAAATTGATATGTCAACCTAATGAGAATAGATGTAAAATAATACTCCGTAAATACACATCTTTACTATTCATTCCATAACAATTTTAAAAAAAATAATAATAATAACCCCAACCCCGAGAGCTCTTCATTGTCCTGTCCTTAAGACCTTGCACGAGTAACCACAATAGATCCAACTTCAAATTGTATTATCGATAGAGCTAGATTCTTTACTTTGGTCTTTCTAGTGCGGTTTACCTTTCTTGTATGGTTTGTAAGTTATTACATAAAAATAAGGTTTATTCTGTGTATATACACTTTATTTCAAGTAATAATGCAGAATTTCTTTCGTCATTCCAAAAAAAAAAAAAAAAAAAAAAAAAGATTTGGACATGAGAAGAAGTCATGGATGACATAAATAAAGCTAATGAATTGAAATTAAATTAAAGTAGGCTTTTTGAAGGTTGACCTCATAATATAGAAAAGATAGATTAGATAGACGTTATGGAAATTGCAATTATTCCCACAAGCTAAGCTACGTAAAGGATATGTCTTTTGCTTCCCACTGCGGTAAAGGACGGTCCAACTTCATAAAAACCTCATCTATTAATATTATATTGGATGCCAAATTAAAGGGGCTATCATATCTATTCTTGATTTTAAGGTCGTGTCAATGACATATGTGTTTAAGTGTAAAGAAAGAATCTATTCTAAAATAATTTTAATAGGAAGAATTATTTAAATTTGAATGTTGTTAAAATCAAGTGTTTATTATTGAACTAAAAGTTATACTTGTTGCATAGTAAATAGTGTCACATTTTGAATGTACACTGATTACTGGATACTTGACTTAGCTTGGCCTTTTCGGCTAACCTTCGCCAATAATCCCTAATGCCAAACTTGATGCCGATATGGCTTCTTTGACTTGCTATGATACTAATTGTCAAGATCTATCTCTTACTACTACAACAAAAATAATAACTAGTGTGTGCTAAATGTATAACTATACTTCTTTATAGTTGCTTAGCAACCAACATAATATTTTGAATACACACTAATGGGGAATATACTCCGAGTATACCATTCCCTCGTATTGTACACTTGCTTGATATTCGGTTGAGTCACCGAGAGAAGTCATTCTCGACCTAAACCGACCACAATCTCGGCCTACCCGACCTACAACTATGAGCCGAGCTGACTAAGAACTACAGTGAGCTGCACACCTTGGAGACCAACCCCGACCAGTTCATGTTGGGGCGATCACCCTAGTCCGGACCACTTGAGGGTTTGGACCTGGTTTGCAGGCTTCAATTCATTCCCATTCTAATGGACGCTCAGAATCTCAATACACGTGGCTGATAAGACGCTATTCCCGAACTCGTCTACTGCATGCACGACACGTGTTGGACATGCTGGGAGCCCAGCATGTGCCTCCTTTTCCTTACCTAAATATTGGCGATGAGGGGAGACTTTTGGGCACTGCTATACTTAGCCCTATTTAGCTTGGAACCCTCTGACCTTACGTCATCATATCGCCCGAGCTTAAGACTTAAACCAACAAGCAGACTAGTGAAGGATCCACTTACAATCCGACCACAGTACGTGTACATGTTTGTGGGAACCACCGTATTTATCATATCACACACCAACGACAGAATGACAATCTTTGTGCTCCAAACTTTCTTCCTGCAAGTACCACTCCATAACTTCGTGTAAAGTTGATATGGACAAAATATCACATGCATTATTCAATATTATTTATCTATGTCAATATTCTTCTCTTTTGTTTATATATATATATATATATATATATATATATATATATATATATATATATATATATATATATATATATATATATATATATGTATGTATGTATGTATGTATGTATGTATGTATGTATGTATTATAATAACCTAAGATATTGCCACTTTACAACATTGTATATATAAAATTTTCCATATATATATATGGCACTAAATTGATACGATGCCAAGCTTATATGTGAAGCTTAATTAGAGCAGACTGCAAGCAGGACTACACAAAAGAATAATTGCACATTTGCACAAGTCTCTTTAATACTTGATTCACATTTTAGTAAATATAAATAATTGGCTTCCCGTTTAGTATACCAATTATAAATAAATAAAAAATAAAAAATAAAAAATAAAAAATTAATACTATTGACTTTGATACAATATCCGTTCATAACTACACATACATATAAAGTTAATTTGTTATAAAATTAATTCGTTAAATATAAAGTATACTCACAAGACTACTGTTACACACGTACATATATATATATATATATATATATATATATATATATAAACACTAAAAAGTAAAATAATTAGTAAAGGAAAAAAGAATTTTCAGTTTCGAGTCTTGCTTATATGTATAGAATTATATATTTATATTATACATATTTTCCTCCTACTCTCCGACGCAAGAACTACACACCCATTAGTGTTAGGGAGCATTTCATTCTCTTAATTTTCGTTTCTTTTCCTTTTCTCAGAAGCATTGAATATGTGACGA